GCAAAGATTTGCCAGGGAAGGTTGGAGGGTGAGTGTAAACTTTCTTGATGGGGTAATTGCTGTAAGGCAGTGGTAGGACTAGCCCTTAGTCCTAAAATCAGGACTCTTTCATTTCTATGATTCCTCCGTGTTTCCACTTAATGTGAATGAGACAGAATTTGCTTAACAGTTGGGCATAGTAAACCATCAAACTAATTGTATTCCCTCCCTCCCTTTTACTCCCCCCCCTACTTCATCCCCTTCTTTCCCTTTCCCCTTCCCTTTCCCCTTCCCTTTCCCCTTCCCTTCCCCCTTCCCTTCCCCCTTCCCTTCCCCCTTCTCTTCTCCCTTCCCCCTTCCCTTCCCCCTTGCCCTCTCCCTTCCCTTCCCCCTTTCCTTCCCTTCCCTTCTTTTCTTCCCCAGTCCTGGGGTTTTGACTCAGGGTCTGGGTGCTATCTCTGAGCTTTAAAAAATTTTTTTTTGAAAATTATTTTTTATTTTTATGGTTGGTCCTGGGGCTTGAACATTGGGCTTGGGCGCTGTCCTTGCACTCTTCAGCTCAAGGTGAGCACTCTACCGCTTGAGCCACAGCGCCACTTCAGGTTTTCTAGTGGTTTATTGGCGATAAGAGTCTCACGGACTTTGTTGCCCTGGCTTTGAACTGCGATCCTCATCCTCAGATATCAGCCTCCTGAGTAGCTAGGATTACAGGCTCTCTGAGCTTTTTGCTTAGGGCTAGTAGTCCACCATTTGAGCTACAGTTCTACTTCTGCTTTTTGGTAGTTACTTGGAGATAAGACTCATAATTTTCTTCCTGGGTTGGTTTCAAACCATGGTCCTCCAGTCTTACTCTCCTGAGATGCTACGATTACGGATATGAGCCACCAGCCCTGTGTTCATCAGACTAATTATGATGGAATCATATAGTGGTCATCTCATATTTGGTAATAGAGGAAAATTTAGGAAAACTGCCATGTTTTTCCTATCCCTGCAACTTCTCTGTGGGACAAGGGACAGAGTGCATTAGAGGCAGACAGACTGCCATAGTGCCCTGCATTTTAAAACAATATAGTGCCAGGTACTGGTGGCTCATGTGTGTGATCCTTGCTATTTTGAAGGCTAAGGTCTGAGGGTAGTGGTTCAAAGCCAGCCAAGGCAGAAAAGTCTCCAATTACCATATCCAATTACCCAGTAAAAAGCTGGACATAGAACTTCTGTGTGGCTCAAGTGGCCAGGATTGAGTGAAAAAGATAATGACAATATCTGGCTGAGTTCAAGCGCTGGGATGGGGGTAAGGGGAAGGCACACAGACAGACAGACAGACACACAAACAAAACAACAATTTCCCATATAGCATGATTTTTCTTGGAACATGTATTACATATTTACAAGTATTTACATATTTACAAGTATTTACATGTATTGCATATTTACAAGGTGACAATTTTGACTTGGTTAGAAGTATAAGGAGAGACCATTTTGTTTAGCTTGGACTTTGCCAAGAATAATTTTCTTTCTGAAAAAGAAACATTTCCTTAAAATTTAGAAACCTAAAATTGAGTTAACACCACGATGGTTTCTCTACAGAAGGGGTGGTTCAGTTTACTGAGATCCAATCAGACTTTTGTGAAATGATACTGATAGACTAAAATTTTAATTCTGGATCTTTGTATCTCTCCCTTTGAAAGTATGGAATGGAAATAATTCAAGCTGTTTCTTTAAAAACAAGGTAGATAGCAGGAACTTGACAGGTTGGTAGAAGCAGAGGGAATCCATCTCTTTACATCTCTTACATTTTATGTAAATATGTTAAGGGGATCCTGCTACCATTGTATGTTGGGCACACAACTTAATAAAATGTAGCCAAAGTTTCTCATTCATACAATAGTTTAATGAACTGTTTTGCTGCCTTCGTAGGGTTTATTTTTATTAGTTATACAGGGGAAGATTTCATTGTTATATCTCTACCCATTTATAGGGCATTCTAATCAATCTCACCCACTTATCACATTCCCTGCCTATTTTTCACCATTCGTGATTATGTACATGTTTTTTAAACAGAAAAGGCCGCCCTTGTGTTAAAGTTAATAGAATCCCAGGAGAGGCATAAATAGTATCTCTCTCATGGATCACCTAGGTTATGAAGACTTGTAGCTCATCCTGGGAAAGTCAATTATTGTCTTTTGGTAGCGTGGCGTGAATCACAAGATGAATTTCCATGCTTTAACAAACTCTGCTCCTTAGTAAGTAATGTGCCTGCACTAACATCTCATGCATTAAATCTCAGCTTTAATTTTCCCTCTTTCAGACCTGGGCATTTAGGTTTTTTTACACAAAGATGACTGTATAGTTTTAGCAGATAAATTATTACTTGTTTCAAATTTAGAGCTTTGCTTTCAAAAAATAACAGCATAGTGCTACAGATTAGTAGTAGCTATATTACTTTAGCACTCTAATTCCTCCTCTGTAATTGACCATGTCTTCCAGAAATTAGAAATAGTCCTGATTATCTAGTACAGTTTGAGTTTGGGAGGAAAGGACAGAAAATTGTCATGGGCCTGTGGTGGGATGGATGAGGGTGGTGAGGTAAGAGTGTTCTATGTGGCAGACATTATACAGGGCTTTCTACTACTCTGCACTTGACTTGGCATCTGAATACATTGGGTCCTATAGCAACCCTTAGGAAGCTCATTTAAATTAAGCAATTTTCCCAAGGAAATACAGTGGTAACGAAGGAAATCCACATTCAGTTTTCTAGTACCATGTCTTGTTCCTTAGCAACTAAGAAACGGAATTCTTAGATAATTTTCTGATTTAAGTTTAAAAGTGACCTTGTTTAGAGAACTAGTATGCATTCATGAAGATTAATGCCTCTTAGGGCTGGGCAAAGGGTAGGGATGAGTGGTTATTGAAGGTGAATCTCATGGACTTTCCTGACCAGGCTGGCTTTGAACTGCAGTCCTCAGATCTCAGCCTCGTGTGTAATCCTTCAAATAAGGAAACATGCATGGTACATATAAGACAAATGCTAAGGGAATTCACAAATCTCTGTTTTTCTGCCATTGTCCCATTGTTTCAAGAATGCATACTTGCCTTGGGTTTAGAACAAAGCACAGATCATTTTCTGGTCACTTCTTATTGCTTCATGTTAACTTGTTTAGAAATTAGGAAAGACACCACAAAATAAACATCTGGAGAGAATTTTTACAGATGCATGAATTTTCTTCGTTTGTGGGGATCCTGAGTGTTGCCATGTCACATACTCAGAAGACCTCCTCCCCCCATTTCACTTGGCACAGACCCCATACATATCTTCAAGAAGAGGGAAAGTCAGAGAAGTTCTGTGGCATTTTCTCCCATCACTTGTTTTCTGTCAGTGTGGTTTGCTTTAATGATTTGGAAATAAACCCATTGCAAGAAATTAAGAGTTAGAGGGCAGACTGGGTCTGAGATGGTCTTTGTTATCCATACACAGATGGTATCATGATTACCAAGTTCAATTCTTTCTTCTCAGATTTAAAAAAATGTCATAATTTGGCCTCACAATTGTGTTGCCAGTTAGTCATAAGAGCTCAGTACTGTCATTGATTGAGGGGACCAAGTCTAGCCACATTTTATTTCATTATGCTTGACCACTGCCCAAATGCTACACTGTTCTTTGCCCCTGGATTATTGTACACAATACTCTTTGAAGCACCCACTACTATTATATATCAGGTCTGAGGCAAACCAACCATATCAATCTCAGTAACTGAGTATACTAGTTGACACAATAGAATCAATCATTTCATGCTTTATTCATGTTGTAACTTGAGTATTTCTACAGCTTTTCCAGCATGAATGGAGAGATTTCCTTAGGTTTGAAGTCATAAGTTGTCTATACTTGCTGTCATGAGAGCACAGAGAGATAAGATCTTAGAAAATATGTTTTACATCTATTTTAAGACTGAGATAGTCCTTAAGGACTGAGCTCTTAAGTAAATCATCCCCAGATTACCTGCATGGCTTTTTGTTACCTGCCTGAAAAACAATAAGCAGGGCATTGCAAAGAGTGAATAGAGAGGAGCAAGTCTGATAGTGACGCTTATACTTCCCATCTGGGTAATCACATGATGATAGAAAATTTGTTTACAATACCAAGTAATGGAAATGGGTTACAAAGGTTTAGGTTGTAGGTCAGGAATTTTAATATATTGCTAAGAAAGCTATCTTGCTGGACAAGATGTGGTGGCACATGCCTGTAATTCTAGAAACTCAAGAGTCAGAGATGGGGAAGATGGCAGTTCAAGAACAGCCCTGGGGAGAAAAGGTAGTGAGACTCTGCATCTGCAAATAAGCCTAATGTGGTGATGAGCACTTATACTCTTACCTATGTAGAATTTATAGGGAGGATGATCACAGTCTGAGGCCATCTTGGGCAAAAGTAACAATATTCAAATATTATCTAGTGAAAAAGTATTGGATGTATGTTTCAAATGCTGAAGCTCTTACCTAGCAAGTGTGACGTATTAAGTTCAAGCCTTACCAATGCTGGGGATTGAGAAGGTCTGTCTTGCTGCTTCCCCAGTAATTTTTGAATACTCCCTTTATTCTGGATCATAATTCTTGAGACTGTACATTGGTTGTAGAAAAGTTTTAAACAAGACTCTCAGTATAATAATTCTTGTGAAATTCACCAGGGTAGATTACATTTATACATTTTTGGCATAAAAATAAACATCTGAGGGGTGTTGAGTTTAGTTTTTTCATGTGTATTGTTATGATGGAAAGAATGGTCAACCTGATGGATAGAAGAGCACCCTATTTTAGTTTCTTGGAGCTAATGATAGATAAACGCAACTAGTTGACTTGCTTTTAAGTGGTTCGTTTATTATTACAGGCTATGTTATTAAATTGGAGAACACAGGTCTATTTCATCATCATTTTTGGTTAATATGAGAAAAGCTTAAAAGAGAAGAGCCATTCTGATCCAATGACTATGCATAAACACTGATCTGTCTTCCTTTGTCTCTGTCTTTTAGGGTCGACATGTTAAAACAGGTCAGCTGGCAGCCATCAAAGTTATGGATGTCACTGAGGTAAGATGTTACATAAAAGTGTTATTTCTCTTCCCTTTCCTCCTCCCTCCCCCAACCCCAACATATACAACATAACTAAACCTGTACTTCCTATCTGGACAAGAGAATAAATTACTCTTCCATCTGATCATTTGGTCACATTGCCTTCATATGCTATTAGGGGTTCATAGGTCCAGCAGTAGAGTAGTTGCCATAAATGGTTGCAGATGGCTATGCTAAGAGTTCATAGCATTTGCTCTCAAAAAGAAAACAAAACAAAAAAATGGAAAGGACAAAAAAAAAGCAACTACATTTGAGTGAGGTCATCTTTGGCAACAAAAATCCATCAAAATTGGAAACATCTTCTCTAATGGAGAAGAAAAGATTTAAGTAAGGATCATGGAGGTTATATAAACAGGGACACTGAGGAGTGTGGGGTAGGGAAAAGCTTCTCTAGGGTATTGAGCCACATTGTGCCATTTCTTTTATTTTTAACATGGGTAAAAAAAACAGATTCAGCCAAGTTCCCGGAGGTCAGAAAACAGAAACATCTGCTAAAGGGCTGAGAAGATCATTGTCAAAAGTAGTAGCAAAATATAGTTCTTGAAATAGTTGCATGGGATTTACTGTGCAGCTTCAGATGGGAAAGAGAACTTAGCCCAAACAAAAACTGTGTGGGTGTTTGTGTGGGCTCACCTGTGTGGATGTGTGTGCATCTATAAGTGTCTAGATTTAATTTAAAAACAGAATCAGAATATAAAGAATTAAATCCAATCTTATTTTTAAATTATTTTCATCTGAAATTTTACTTTTTGCTCTCATAATTGCTTCTGACTTACCTAATTTTGAGAGAGACTGAACATTGTATTTCACAGATTCTTGAAAAGATTAACTAGCCGTATGAACTTGAAATATCTTTCAATCAAACTGTACTTTCCAAATCTGGGGTTTATTAAGGATGGTAATGGCTAAACTAATTTCCAGATGCCATCCACAGTAAACTGAAAAGATCTCTTTTGCAGCCTCTGTTGATCTCTTAATAGCATAAGCCCTTTCAGTGTGTATCTTTGTCAGTGAGAATTAGAAAAACATTATTGTCTTTGGTCTTTAGGTCAAATGTTGAAACCTCTAAAAATACTTGAAGTATGATATTTTATGGGATGATTGTTCTCCTTCTCTGTCAGAGAAGGGTAAGACTTTTAAAATGAAAAATTACTGTTGTTTCACTGAAATCCAAAGATTCACATAGCAAGTTCTAATGTGGTCTGTTCTGTTGCATTATAGGATCCTACTTGAAATACAGGTCAATGGACAATTAGATGGTTTTTGCTTAAATACTACTTTAAAGGGCAGCAAAGGTCCAACAAATTTTAATGTACTACATTTTCAATATTGTAGTTGGAATAACTGATTACATCTTCCTACCAAAATCTTTATTATACTAAGTATATTTGAGTATACTGTGAATATTCTGGTCACCAGCAGCTTTATTTAGAGACAAGATTTTACTTTATATGGCCTTTTGATCTGTTATGTAGTTGATGATGATTTTGAATCTACAGTCTTTCTGCCTCAGTTTCCCTAATGCTGAGATTATAGGCATAGACTATGACACTTGGCATCAATAGCCTCTAAACTAATATTAGCATTCATTTGATGGCTTAATTTATTGTAAAATGATATTTTATGCCTTCTCTATTAGTCAGCACAAGTATATATAAAGAGTTTCCTTTGTACATACTCCCATCATCTTTTTACCTTATTTTTTGTGAGGGGGTGAGAGAGGATAATGCTACAGATAGGGCCCTTTATTTATTCAATGTATCCACCAGTTATAGTTGGTATTGTTATTATGCAATTAAATTTTACCAAATTCAGCAATGGGAGCCTCTGACATGGACTTGATGGGTCTTCCAACAGACCCGTCCTTTTAACAGGATCTTATTTGTTTCAGACCTAGCTATTTGTTTTGTTTTTGTGGTGGCAGCAAGTAGAGGGGTAGACAAGGTCTTAATGTGTTAGCCCAGTCTTCCTGTTACTCTCTATATAGGCTGTACTCGAACTTGCATGCCATTTGAGTGATGAGTGTTCTCATTGCTACTGAGGTGTTAGTGCAGTGAGCCTTTTGAGTAGACGTAGCCAACAAATACATTTTTAAAAAACTGACTTTGACTGGGCATCGGTGACTCACACCTGTAATCCTAGCTACTCACGAGGCTGCGGTCTGAGGATCATGGTTCAAAGCCAGCCCGGGTAGGAAAATCTGTGAGACTCTAATCTCCAATAAACCACTAGAAAACCGGAATTGGCACTGTGGTTCAAGCAGTAGAGTGCTTGCCTTGAGCTGAAGAGTGCAGGGACAGCGCCCAAGCCCCAAGTTCAAGCCCCACAAGCAACAAACCCTCCCTCCCCACAAAACTAGCTTTGTGACTTTAAGTATCACTATCCTATAATACTGTGAAATTTATGTAATCACTTAATTTCAATAAAAAATCCCTAAAGCAGAAAGATACACATGACCAAAAAACTGGCTTTGTTTAAGTTCATTATTTTAGTATGCCTCACATATTTTTTTCTTGTAGAATGAGAAATCTTGTTCCTCGTTAAATTATGCACTTGGTTGAAGTATACCATTTCTCTGAAGTTCTCTTTGTCTTTAGAGATTGACAGAATTCTTTATTCAGATGTTACTTGAGATTTTTTTTCTTTTATGGTTTATCAATTTGTTACAGATTATAGTATTTATTTTTATTAATGAAAAATATTTTTGAATGTATAGATCAGTGACATAATTTAGAAGTTTAAATCTATAAAATGATAGGCATTTGAAAGACAGTTTTAAAAAGCATGAGCCAGATTAGATTACATGAATGATAGACCACCTTTGCCAAGTGTTGTCATGCAGTTCTAGTTCTTGGAGTTGCATTTGTTGCTTTGAGTAAAACAATGTGCTAAACATTCTTGGATTAATGCAGAGAGAGAAAAAAGGCAAAGTGTGTGTGTGTGTGTGTGTGTGTGTGTAAATGTCAATGAAGATGAACTATTGTACTCTCTAGAATGAAAATTCATCTCATCACTGTTGAGAAGGGAGACCTGTTTCAACTTCGATCTTCGTTAAACCTCTTTCCAAACATCTTTCTTCTACCTACTCTGTCCTTCTTTGCTTCTGTCACAGGACTTTGTTAAAGCAGTAGACTGGGAAATATGGCTTTTGGAGTAGCAGTACCTGTAAGTACCTAGGGGCTTGTGAGAAACACAATGTTGTGAGAAACACAGTGTCTCAGGTTCCATTCTAGACTACTGCCCTACAAACTCAAGGTAGAGCCCTCCAAGATATTCTGATGTACCCTTAAGGTAGAAAACCTCTGCCTTAATGGAACCTTCGGAAAGAGGCCACTTTCACACAACTATGATTAAAGCCCTACCGTTCAGTAGTATTTACACTTCCTGCTCAGGAATACACTACTCCTTAGCCAATATAAGAATTAGCACTCAGATCATTGATTCATACTTTACTATATATGTAGTATAATGTAATTACATTAGGTATAAATGACATATTAATTGCATTAAATATATTAATAATGTAAACATCAAGTTCTAAAGAGCCCTGTTGAGTAAGCTGATTTGATATTTTGTCTTTTAAAGTTCTTTTACTCTTAAGACTAAGATTTGATTAGGAAGGGGTAACTCATGTAACTGTAACCCTGCTGTACAGCATCTTTACAATAAAATAAAAATTTTTTAAAAAAGATGTGATTAGTAGTCCTAGCATATCTTTTGAGAAACAAAAACATTGGGCATGAGGAACAGGGGGCTAAGTTGTCAGCTTTAAATGTGTATCTTTCATATTGTTAACATTGTGCTACTTGGAAGTATCTGGTAAAACAGCCAGATAAAACTCAGTTTCTGCCAGTCATCTTCTTGGAAAGGCAAGGGGCACACATACACACTGAAGCATGGGAAGGTAAGCGGTATGCATTTCAGCGCTTACAAGCTAGGTCTCCAGGGAGACCTAGGGAACTCTTGTCCTAGCAAAATAGACTAAAACCCTCACACTCCAGTGAGCAAGCAACTCCTGTAAAACTTAATAGTTTTGCCACCTTGTAGTAGATGAAGGTGCCTGTTTTCCTCCAGATTGAGAGTAAGAATAAAACATGAGGTCTTGAGTCTTTATTATTAAATTTTTGTTTGTCTAAATACTTAAGAACAAAGCAAAGGAGAGACATGTGGATTGTGACTTGTTGCTCCCTAGATGCCAGTTAAATGGTGCAAGTCTTATAGGTTTGGTACTGGTTTCTGCAATTTCAGGTAACCAGTAGCACTTTGTCCCTGCCCATTCCATGGTTTTTGACAGATTTATCATAGGACCATTCCAGATTCTGGGGTGAATTACAAATGCATCGGAAGACCACATTCAGCTGTCTTGTGTTTGGAGGCATCATTTAACATCCTCTACCCCATGTTTTCTGTCATCTACTTTTAAAATCAGCCCTCCCTTTTTTCTTAAAGTCATACAAATTTCCTATACTGTCCTTAAACTTGGGGTCTTCCTGACTAAGCCTTTCAGAAGCTTCTATTGTAGCCATATGCTCTTGTTCCTGGATAACCATATTCTTTTAGAATAAACTGTCTTTTTCTCTTAGGAACTGAAAGAGATACTGCTGTATCATATTTATAGGATGCTAAATTTACCTGCTTGGTGGTTTTTTAATGTTCTATAATTTTGAACTTCATTTAAATGGTTTTCCTACAACTCTTCAACTTAGGCTTAGTAGGTCTTTCTGTAGACAGAGAAAAGGGCACCGGTTTTATTTTTGTGATTGTAAAAATTCAGCATCCATTGGGATCAATAAAATTTAATTTAGTTCAAAAGGATGGTAATGATTTTGATAATTATTCCATTGTGTTCCCATTGTTTGTTAACTCTTTTCCTTGTTACCACTTCTTTCTGAAACTTGGGTTTTTTTTTTAATGACCTCTTAGGAAATTTTTGTCTAGATATATCATGTATCTGTATA